ATCAGGAAACTAGAGACAGAAGGGGCGGAGATAGTACTAGTGGCTCAACCCTGGCCCAGGAGGGCATGGTTTGCAGACCTCGTCCACCTGTCAGTCTCCACCCCACCCCTCAAGGAGATTCTTCAGGATCAGATTGTCTTGTGTCAGGGGGTCCTACTCCACCCAGAGCCTTAGTGGCTCCAGCTTTCCGCCTGGCACTTGAAAGGCAGATCCTGAGGGCGGCCAGTATCTCTGACAGGGTAATCGCAACCAGCGAGGCATCACACATGTACACATCTACAACGTGACTTGGTCAGCATTTGCTAGGTAGTGCGGGGAAAAGGTCATTGACCCTATAATGGCATCCCCACTGCAGATCCTGGAGTTCCTGCAGGACAATTTTGAGTGAGGCCTAGCACATAACACCCTCAGGAGCCAGGTAGCTACAATTCCCACAGCTCTGGGAGATGGTCATTCCCCATCCTTAGCCCACTAGCCGATTGTCGGGCGATTTCTGAAATGGCCTTCAACCTGAGGCCCTCAGTGGTCCACAGATTCCCCTCATGGGATCTCCCACGGTTCTTGAAGCCCTAGTGGGTGAACAATTTGAGCCGATTAGGACCGTCTCACTCCAGTTCCTGACCCTTAAGGTGGCCTTCCTAGTGGTGGTGGTAGAGATGCACCGCTGCCAGGCGCATCTCGGAACTCATATTTTTACAATCTACTTGGAGAATATGATTTGTGATGCAGGACAGAAGGGGGGAGTTTGGAGGGTAAAGTTCAAATGCAATTAAGCAAAAGTCAGTTTAGGCTCCACAGAAGTAATGCTAAGATGTTGATCCTAATAAATGAAGGGGTTTTGTTTGAACTCTGTCTCGAGGCTCNTTGTATCTATCCTGTGTCTTTGTCCTTGCCAAGTACATAATAAACCTTCCGGTATGAGCCATCTGTAGTTAACACCTTTTTTTATGCTTATGTATACTTCTTATGCAGTCAAATAATGCTCTCCCAGCAACCTAATGACTTTCGTTACATGGAGAATGGTAGGGAGACAAGAATGAATACTCCCTCTATTACCCTGGTATCTCTATGCAACATTATCTGTTCTGGAATAAAATATTTCCTCTGTTGTCTTTTCCGATTTACTTCTACTGAAATCCTTGCTTTTACTATCAATTTTCTAAAATCTTTTTGTAAGGGTTGGTAAATATTGAATCCTTGGCCTAAGAACAAAAAAATCTGCTTTTAATGCAAGCTGTTTTATTGGAGGTAACTAGAATTATAGGAAACGATTCTTTCTATGGATTACACAAGTATGGCTTGATAAATTGAATGTAGATAAGATCTAAAATCTGAAACAAAATTTATGGGCTAATAGGTAGATAATAGACAAAATTAAATCTGTATTACTTAATCCTTGTTCTACAGACTAAAGATAATGTGGAAAATACTGTTTTACATTACAATGTATCTCATAAAGCTGTATCGTGATTTAGATTTCAAGGCAGAAAAGTATTTCAGAGCATGAAAATGTAAATGTGCAATTCTTGAATCCAAACAATTTTTTCCTGGAATTGGTTGACAACTGCAGAGCCTATGTAAGCATTTCTGCCAATAAAGCTAGCAGAAATGCTTACATTGACAGAAACTAAGATAAAAATGCCTATTTCAGCTGTTTCCTCTGAACATCCAAAATGATGCCTAGCTCATTGGCATATAACAGGTCCGCTTGTTTAGAAGTTCAGTTCCATTCATCTGCAGTGAAAGGGATGAATGATAAATATATTTTGTAGGAACATTCATCATATCTTTGTAGTTCCTAACTATGTAAATTAAAACATGCTTGATATTGGCAGAAGTATTTATCACTTAGATCAGAGCACTATAATACTATGGAATTCATGTTGGTCTTTGAGCAAAGTTGTATGCCTGATGATGTTTTATCATCTAACTAAATAACATCCTTACTATATGTCTCCATTATGAAAGTTGAAGTCTAGGGTTACACTTCGTTGGTATAAATCTATAAATATTTTGTGGAAATCTCAAACACTTTAGTAATAGTGTTTTAGAAGTATTCATTCTCCATAGTGAGGGGGGGAGAAGTATCCAGAATGGGTTGACCTTATCCTCTCGTGATTGGATTGAGTCAGATAAGCTCTTTGGGCAACGCCCCTGGCACCAGGAATTCCCCAGTTTTTCTGACTCAAACGATCGTGAAAGGTTGCTCATTCTGGATCTCCAGCAATTTACTAGGATTTAAAGAAAATTCAGTTGGACCCGTCGAGCCTTGCCTCCCTGCACCGTGCACAGCCTCCTCCTGCAGGATCGGGACTGCCACTAGCCCCTCTGGGGCGGCACGCTGTCCTGGCCACTGAGTGAATCTGAAGACACTCAGTGAGGACCTTGGCCGGGCAGCAAGAGGACCGGGCACAAGTCTCTCACAGGCAAGCCCTAACCGCTGAGGCTCATACGTTGCTGGAGCGTTCCGTCGCTCCCCTCAGGGGTTGAGCAACGAACCGGGGTTTCCAAACGCCCTGGAGCGCCCACGCTGCCTCCACGTGGCCAGAGGATCGCGAGGAAGCCAAAGAAGCCGTTCCTGGCCACAGCGGCATCAGAGAAGAGGCAGGAGGAAGAGGATCTGGCTGAGAGGGCTGGAAAATCTGTTTTATTGTTTGGATATATGCCCCTCCTTCCATTTTTGTACATTTCTTATTTTTTTAAAAAAAGCAATTAAGTTCTTCAGTTTGTTTTCCAGTGGAAGAAAGTGGAGTGGTCAGGTGTGGGTATTTTCAAAGACTGATTGGTCCAAAGACTGAGAGTAAACTTCTTAAATACTCCTTCCATTCTTGCCCAGTTTCCTCTCAGTCTCTTGGTCCAAGCACTGTTGAGAATTGTATCTAGGTAGGAAATTTATTTATTGAATCTGGTCTGGTATTTGGCTAATTGGGCTTTTTAAAAATTCCTAAATTCTAAAATTGCAGCTGCAGCCCCAAGGGACAGTCCTCTGCCTCGGGCAGTCGAGGAGGACCCTGTGGGGCATCTATCCTTCCCTCCGCAGGCCCGGAGCCTCAGCCCTATCCCTGGGACTGGGGGTGCCAGCTCCAAACAAGTTGTGGGTGAGGCAGATTTTTCCTTTGCCAAGATCGGTGAGGGAAGCGGTGTCGGCGCCACAAGGTGCGCATAAGCCACCTGCGGAGCTGCCGTTTGATTCGGGCGGCTGCCACATGCTTCGGCTGCTTGTATTAGCATGAGGGGGCAACTTGGGGGGAGTGTGAGCCTGTGTGCCGCATGGCCCCCAGCATTGCAGGACCGGTTTTGCCCCCGAGTATTCAGGAAGAGCCGCTCGACGCAGTCTTTGGCCTCTTCCTTCCACACAAGCTATTTGAGGTCTGGCGGCCATTTTAACTGCCACCACGTGCACAAGGCCTTTCCCCATTTACAGAGCCAATCTAGAGGCCAGGCCGGGACATTCGGCCTAGTTCCTCCCGCACTATCCGAACGCCCAGGCTCCGGCGGGGCCTAAAGAGGCCTGAATTCTTTCTTCCTCCACGCTTCGGGACACGTGAGTGGGGCAATGGAGGAGGGATCGGAAATTCCCCAGGGCCAGGCAGAAGGCCCGGTGAGGGGGGAAGAGGGCCTGGAGCAGGGATTCGGAGCGGTGGTTCCCCCAGTAAGGCCTTTCGCTGCCCAGCGCCCCTCTAGATCCTCCACGAGGGAGAAGGCCAGGAGGCACAAGGTCTTAGAGAAGACCTTCACCAGGGCGGAAAGGTAGGCCAAGTCTGCAGGGCCTGCCTCTACCAGAATGTCCCGGTCACCAATCAGGCCCCCTTCTGGGCATTCTTGTCGGGAGTTCAGTCCTTCTCTTTCAGCCTCCTCGGCCAGGTCCCGCAGCTATTCCAGGCGGAGGGGGTCTCCCTCTCTTTTGGTCTCTCCAGGTTTGGCTAGGAGACGTTCTGCAGATCCTCTGGAAGGGACATCCAGGGGGCCTTTTCCTTCACGCAGGGTGGCGCCTCAGGGTGGCGCTCATGCCCCTTCTTCCTCGGGCCTTTTTCCTCCAGCCATGTTCAAGATTCTCCTGAACAAGGCAAGGAAGACCATCAAGGTGGGGACAGGGGATCCCATGGTCCCGCCTAGGGACCCTGACATGGCCATGTTTTCTAACACGGTCATGAACAAGGAGCAGATTCCAGGCCTTCCTTTGTTTATGGAGGCCCTGACCAACCAGTGGACCCTCCCCTCCCATTTCTCTAACCCTGGGAATAATGACAATGTAGAGCAGGCCTTTGCCCAGGCCATTCAGTTGCCCACTATTGACACCTGGGTTGCTACTCTGGTCTCTTCCTCACCGGTGGTGTCTGGTGATGCGGCAGATAAGTTGAAACCGGAGGATAAGCGCGCAGAGCTTACCTTACAGAAAAATTTTAATGCCACTGCCTGAGCCATAAAGTTCATGGCCATGGCCTCGTATTTTAACCGTGCCACAGTCATGTGGCTTCGGCAGCTCCAGGGTCACATTCCGATCCAGGACAAATGGCTCCACCAAGATCTGACTAAGATTATTGCGGCCTCCCAATTTTCCACTGATGTGACTCTGGATACGATTAAATTTGCGTGCAGCGCCTTAGCCACCTCAGTTACCTCCCGCCTTTATGGCTTCGTAACTGGCAAATGGATAACAAGGCCAAGTGGAATCTGGCAGCTGCCCCGTTCAAGGGCCTAATTTTTGGGGGGAGGCTCTCGACCCCATTCTGGTCAAGAACAAAGACAAGAAAAAGGTTCCCCATCCAACACTAAAAAGCCTGAGGCTCGGTCTCATCCTTATCGTAGGAGGTTGTATAGGGCTCTCTTTCCTCCAAAGATGACCTTTGTCATTTTCACCAGGATAGGGTAGTCCTTCGACTTGACCCTATCTTTCTCCCAAAGGTGAATACCCCCTACCCAATTTTTGCCCAGGTCCATCCAGTGATAGGGAGAGGCTCTGGCACAGTTTGGACGTTCGTTGCACCTTGCGCATTTACCTCTGGCAGACTGCAGGGATCCGCAGGTCAGACACTTTGTTTGTTTCTTTCCAACCTGAGTCGTTGGGGGCCAGCGTGTCTTCGGCTACCATTGGCCGTTGGCTGCGATAGGCCATTGTGGAGGCCTATGGGACGGTGGGGCATCCTTTCCCATCGGGAATTACAGCCCATTCTACTAGGAGTCCCGCAACCACTGTGGTATGGGCCACTAGGGCTCCTTTTGAGGACATTTGTCAGGCAGCCACTTGGGCGTCGCTGATGCCTTTCATCTGACATTACCATCTGGATGTGTTTGCCTCAGCGGATGCTTCCTTTGGTCGGAGGGTCCTGCAGATTGTGGCAGCTGATCCTCCCTTTGGGCCATAGTTGTAATTTTTTTCCCTCCCTGGGACTAAGCTTGGGTATGTCCCACACATGACCATTCCCTCTCTTCCACTGGAAAAAGAATGTTGGTCTTACCTGAACGTGTCTTTTCAGGGGAAGAGAGGGAGTCGTCACGACCCGCCCTTCTTAGGGTGGGCCCAAGGGGAGGGCAGGGTGTTTCCTGGGGGTTTTTTTGTTTTTTTTTTAGTTGTATCTGCTTCAGTTCCGTTGTTCGCCTTCGAGGAAACTGGGCAAGAATGGAAGGAAGGAGTATTTAAGAAGTTTACTCTCAGTCTTTGGACCAATCAGGCTTTGAGAATACCCACACATGACCACTCCCTTTCTTCCCCTGAAAAGACACGTTCAGGTAAGACAAACGTTTTATTTCTTTAGGTGTTCCTCATTCTTCTTTGAGGAAAACACAGAACAATTCTGATTTCAAATTTTTTTTTCAGTTAGTTGAATGTTTATGTAGATAGCTGAGTTAAGAAACAATATATTTTGGTGATCCATCAACCGAGGGCTAAGGAAAGGGGTGGGGGTGTGGCTATTGTTATCCGAGAGTCTCTAGCTCCTCGTAGGATCCCTGCTCCGGAGCTTGTCGGGTGTGAGTCCCTGCTAGTGAAGTTGGACGTCAAGGGTCAAGTGGGTCTGCTGCTAACGTACCTGCCTCCTAACTGCGTTGCAACAGCCCTCCCCTCGCTCCTCAAGTCGATAGCCGAGCTGGCGGTTGAGTTCCCCAGACTTATGGTTCTGGGGGATTTCAATCTGCCTTCGCTCAGTGAACACTCTGATGGAGCGCAGGAGTTCATGGCTTCCATGACAACCATGGGCTTGACCCAAGTAATCCGAGGACCAACCCACTCAGCGGGTCACACGCTTGACCTCATATTCCTGTGGAATATGAGCAGTGGAGCAGTGGAATTGTGATCTTGGTCTGAGGGGTAGCGAGATCTTGCCCCTGTCATGGTCAGACCACTACCTATTGAGGCTTGACTTTCGGAGACCAAACCCCCATTGTAGGGAGGAGGAACCGACCAGGTGGTTCCGCCCCAGGCGACTTATGGACCCTTCGGGGTTCCAGACAGAGCTTGGAGTTATTCCTGATACTCTCGCCCGCAGTTCGGCGGAGACTCTGGTTGCTGCTTGGAACTTGGCAGCGATGGAGTCTCTTAACCGGATTGCGCCT